GAGCATCACAGCTCCCCCTTACACCACAGGACCCGACGCGGGCGCAGAACCAGGCGTCCCGGCGCCAGGCGGCGGCGACGGCGGGCGCCGCGAAGGCCCGGGACCGCGCGAGCTCCGGCAGGAGCTCCGCGTCGAGCGGCCGGTAGAAGGCCTCGAGGGCCGCGTCGTCGCAGCGCCAGGCCGCCCCGGCGCGCGCCGCGAAGAATTTCGCGCTCGCCGGGTCGCGGTACGCGCGCGCGTTGTCGCTGCCCGCGCGCGACGGCGCCGCGCCCGTCGCCCCGAGGCCCAGGAACGCGAAGACGAGGCCCGCGGCGTCGTCCGCGGACGTCGGCAGCCACAGCGTCCGGTCCGGGCCGAGGGCGTCGGCCCAGGACCTTACGTGCCGCGCGTAGTGGCCGTCGGCGGCCGGCGACGCCGCGGCCGCGTCGCACGCGCGCCCCGCGGCGCAGGCGTCCCGTTCGCGCCGCGCCGCGTCGAAGAAGGCCGCGCAGGGCTCGCGCAGGCCCGACCGCGTCACGAGGCCCACCCAGACCGACAGGTAGCGCTCGACGGGCTCGCGGAGCGCGCCGACGGCGACCGTCGCCGCCGGCATGAGCGCGGCGACGTCGACGGCGACGCCGAGCGACGCCTCCATGCCGTAGGTGCCGCCGCCGTCGACGACGACGTCCCAGCCCTCGTCGATCGGCGGGAAGTAGGCGCGGTAGGCGTCGTCCCAGCGGTCGCCGCGCCGCGTCCGGAGGGGCCAGAACCGCGTCTCCTTGCAGGTGCCGCCGGCGACGTTCGGATGCGCCGCGAGGTCCGCGTAGAGCGCCGTGCTGCCCGTCTTCGGCGCGGAGACGATCAGGAGATTCGGCAGCGCCCGGCGCCGCGGGTCGCCGGGCAGGGGGGCGCACGCGTACGTCGCGGGGCGCCGCGGCGCGTCGCCCGCGGCCGCGGCCGCGCGGAGCGCCGCCGCGTTGCGCCGGAAGGCGTCGGACGCCGGCGCGAGCGCCGCCGCGCCCTCGGCGAGGAGCGCGGCGGCGTCGCCGGCGCCGCCGCGCTCGTGGAGCACGACGGCGAGGTTCGCGAGCGCCTCCGGGGCCCCGGGCCGCCGCGCGAGCGACCGCCGGTACGACA